ATGCAAGCCATTTTTGTTTTGGCAGGATATACAGTAATAAGGAATTTTGGTCAGCTTTGATCTTGGATGGCTAGGTGTAGGAGTGTCATAGCTACTCACACATCAATTGCAAGTGAACAAAGTAGAGAAGAGGAAGCACTGTTGATCATGTTTCTTCCAAGAATACTGATAAGTCATTATTGTATTTGATTTGATTTCATAGGGAAAAAAATAACGGGATGTGTTTGCTGGGCAACACAGCAGGAATAAACTGTCAGCCATCTTCAGTGTGACCAGCAAAAGCAACAGCATCAGTTGCATTTAGTTAAACTCTGTTGATTGTGATTTTTTTTGATTCACTGAAGTAGGAATGTTTCTGGTATTTCTTTGGGAGAAAAGTTCTCCATCTGACACCAAGATTATAGCTGGGTAGGTTTTGATCATTTTCCGCCATTGGTCAAAAGTCACCGATTCGTCAACCCGGAGACCAGCGAATGAAGTCTGCTTACTGAATTCAAAATCTAATTTTTTCGTAGCAGAATGGTTTCCTTAATTTATTTCCTGGCGATCAGAGGTCATGACAGAAAAGGCCAAAGGGAAAGTCTTAACCCTCTCTATTTTTGACTGCTTTTTATGGTTTCGTTTCTGTCATTGAAGAAATGTCAGGCATCAGCTATTACGGTGGAAAATGATAATTACGGATTGATCCTGATCGCACATACCTCTCCAGTTTTCTTCCAACTCTTGAGTCATCCTGGAAAAAGCAGTGATTAAATCCACCATCTTGCAATCTCTTCAATTCCTGGAGCCAAAAAAGCTTTTTTTATGGAAACAGTGGAAATGATATATTTCTATAGTTCCACATTTTATTTCAAATGCATCATAAAGAGAGAGACTCTGCAAAGGGCTGTGTCTCTTTGTCAGTGGGTTTGTTAGAACTCATATATTCAGATGACAAGAATTTCATCACTAGTTTATTGTGATTTTTTGGGAGGTTATCCATAAGTGTTTGTTAATGCCACAAAAGATATGCTATTTCAGAGGTGTCAGCCAATTCTTGATGAGAGTTCCTGGCACCTTCTATTTTTTCACAGAGTATCTATATCTATATATCACAATTTTATCTATTGTCAAGAGAGTTGTATTAAGAGAGACGTAGATGGATCAGATCTATATTTATCTTTTCGTATGTCCATTTTGATAGCTATTTTTTAAACCACAGAATGGGAGCGAGAGAACATTCTTTTACAGTGAATTTGGAAAGGGAAGCATTTGGCTTTCTAATTGTTTGTATGTACCTGTGTACAGATTTTGAGGTGAAAAGAAGATAAGGGCCTAGTGTGGAGAAATGTGGTTTTCAAATTATTCCCGGTAGAGTTTATAATAGTATAATGATGGGCCAGGTCCTCTAAAAGAGCAGTTTCCAACTGTGATGGTTTAAGATCGCAAGTCTTAGTCCAATCTATCTAAAAGACACCAGTCTGAAGCCTTTTCGGGGGTATATTTGGAATGACTATGTGGTCACTCCCTATCTTGTGCTGAAGGTGATCCCTGCAACGTCCCTTGGAATCCTTGGTATTGTTCCAGGAATACTAATAGCTACTGGGCAGTTCCTTAGAATATGGATAACGAACGAGGGCTCTGTAAGAGCAAATAAAAACATTAATACCAATAAGAAGGATTAAAGCAAACATTTGATGAGAAAGTCAGGCTAGACTCTGAACTTCGATGTTAGAAAATCTATCAGTGAAGAATGACTTCACTAAAATTAGTGATCACTGGGGTTTAGATTAGAACGTCAGAAGATCTGTGAGTTAATATCTTGTATGTGAATCAGTCACGATGAAAATGGGAAGCAGGTTAAGGGATCCAGTTAAAAAAGTAAAAGAGGAATGTGCCTGAAGAATACAGAATCTTTTGCAACTACCAGGCTTACCTCCTCACAATTTGTACTGTACTCCCAAGTTATTTTTCTATGCTCTAGCAGTAGTCTCATTCAGTATGTAAACCTTTAATTAAATTACCTGGGAAACTGACTGTAGAGAGATGAGCTAGGAGCAGGATTTCACCATCTATATGCCAACTTGCTTTTAACTCACTCCCTGCTCCAACTTTTCCATGTGATTGGTGTAGAAACGAGTTTAAAAGATATGCTACATTTGTGCCCAATGGGGCTCTGCTGTAATTTTGGAGTGATGGGATAGAATCTGATTTCATAGGGAATTAAGCAAGTCTGCCTGAATTTATTCTGGCAAGAAAGAAATGAAACTGGGTGGGCGGTTTAAGATTTAATCAATATTTTAGATAACTGGATTTGGGAGGGCTTCAAAAACAAAAGTTTATAGTCAGAAAAATACAGTTTATTTTTAATCATCCTGTTGTGTAGCATTAATAATAATGATGACTATATTTTTGTTGCACTTCCATATTGCGTCCTCCTGGGAGAAATCTAAGTGCTTTATAAGAGGCGGTTTACAGTTTTATTTAATAAATTAGGCACTTTGTGTAATCAGCAATCTGCAAAACAATCAGGTACAATTCATGAGTGTTACTATTCAAATCATGTGTAAATCATATGTGATTTGTGTATCAGTAAACTGTGCTTTAGAGTAAACTATGAGCACAGCATGTATGTATGTATGTATGTATGTATGTGTGTACATGTATATATACACACACACATATATATGTATACACACATACATGCAGGCATGCTGTACTTACATATATCTATTCAGCAAAACAGATGGAAAAGATTATATTGTGACAGGACAAAGCATTTAAGCTGATATGTAAAAAAAATGAACAAAGTTATTTTGTGGCACATTTATGTAATGCCACTAGTACATCAAGAGTAAGTATTCGCATTGTAATGGATCTGCAGTGTACTTTCATACAATAATCTTCAGTTTTATTTTAGCCTTCCTACATGCAAGCCATGAGTAGCCATTCAGTAGTAAAATTGCAAACATTGTTTCTTGTAAACTGTAAGTGAAATGTGGTTATACTTTGAGTACACCATATGCAAACAATGAATAAGTCATGTAAGCCATTATTGACCTTTGGTCAAGCCATGTGGAAGCCGATACAAATGTTTAAACCCTTTGGGTATGGTTGCTTTCTTAAGTCATTGGCTTTCCACATTAAACCTCTGTTTTTCTCATGCAGGTGCCACTTGGGCTTGCCCAGTTTTATTGAGAGCACCCAGCAAAGTAGCTTTACAAGTATCTTGTCTAGGACAAATAGCTGCGTCGGCACTCTCCATCCTGAAGCTTGGTCTTCAGGGTTAATTGCTTGAAAGTCCTAATAGGGCTTAGGAGGGTGTGGCTCCCAGAGCCAAACGGTAGCATTAGGGTCCTAGGCTTCTTTCCTCACTTCAACTTGTGCAGCTTTCAGAAACTTTGTGCTAAAGTAAGACAATATTTTGTAGCCATATATTAGTGCTGACACATACAACAAAGGTATCCCTGCTATGGCGGCATGTTCAAGGAGTAATTGCAAAAGGACTATTAAAGAAGATTGCAGATATTGTACACACAGAAGCACATAGACATATACAGAGCTCTATAATAAAAAGATATATATCCAGAATACAGATACATGGGTATATATACTGCTCAAAAAAATAAAGGGAACATTTTACCATGGAACTGAAGGGGTTTGCGTTCCCTTTATTTTTGTGAGCAGTATATTTATATTCCTTTCATACCGTAAGTAACTCTTCAGGATTCATAGGGCTATGGATTCCTTTTATCTTCAAAAAAAGGGGGGAAACAGATAATTTAGATAATTTATTCTGAGAAGTGCTTAATGTCTTTCAAATAACATTAATAAAAATAATTGTAATTTGATAGTATTCTAACCACAAAGGTCAGTTCATCTTAAATGGGAATCTTTCAAGATTTCATGATTTTCAAGTCCACTGAAATCCATGGGTTTGCTTCCAAAAATTTTAATTGAACTGGGTGAAGGCAGTAGATGTGGATCCTTTTATACCTTCACCATGGTGAAAAGATTAAGGACTTTAATGAACTGTGTACTGTATCTGCTTGGCAAAATGTTGAATGAGAGAGAAGCAGCAGCAGCCTTAAAATACTACCCCAGTTTAAATCAGGAGCTGCTGTCCTAGATCAGATGAGCATGAAAGTATATTTTCTCTCCATTCCAGTAAAATCCTAAAATGCACAATACATAGCATTCCTCACATTTCTCAAACGATTGGTTTGAGTGTGTTTCTTTGACAAGGTTTTTTATAGCTAAGTAATACTACACTTTGTCCTCCTCTTATAAGATGATGTTTAAAGGGAGGATGCTTTTGATGTAGAAGAGAGAATCTAAGTTACCCGTGAGTAATACTTATTTCTACATAATGGCTAAAAAGTGCAGAAGCCCTAGTTGCCAGCTGGCCAACTTTTCGAAATGAGTAAGTTTAATAGGAAAAGTTGCCACTATTTTTATAAATGGAGGCAGGAATTCTTTGA